AGGCGGGGAACGTTGGAGTCCGCAGCAAGCAAGCCTCCCTGCTCGCTTCAGTGCCTGGCTGCCGGCCGCCATCTTGGCTGACAGTTAATTTGCATATACTCACTGATTAGCCAATGAAAAGGGTAGCGGTTGTACGCTAATTACCATGTTTCTCTTTTATTAGTGTAGATTAGCAGCCTGCTAGCAATTACTGATGGCGTAGTGTCATTTGGTCATACTCATGGGAAGCTTTGTTGAAAATATTTGGTGACGATTGTTCGTTTGCAGTAATTTTATGATTTTCTTCTTTCTAATCTCTTGTCTCTTAAAATCATCACCTGGCTACTACTATCTTGAAAACTTTTAGGTAATTAAGTAGAATTAACCCCATTTTTATAGAACTATATAGAGTTGATCCCTTTCCCACATGAGAATAGTCAACAGGAAAAAATATAAAAAATGGTATCATGGATACATCTTTGATTTTTCCAAGGTTTTTTGAGACTTTATACCTCTGTGATGTCATAAAGGTGTTTTAAGTCACAGTAACTGAATGCCAGAAAACTTCAGTGTCCTTTTCCTTCTCTTTTTTAGGTTATTATTCTCATCGGGAAACTGTGAATGGCTCATGGTACATTCAAGATTTGTGTGAGATGCTGAGAAAATTCGGCTCCTCCTTAGAGTTCACAGAACTCCTCACACTGGTGAACAGGAAAGTTTCTCAGCGCCGAGTGGACTTCTGCAAAGACCTAAGTGCAATTGGAAAGAAGCAGGTCCCCTGCTTTGCCTCCATGCTAACTAAAAAGCTGCATTTCTTTCCAAAATAGAAATAAGGCTGTTGTTGTTTTTTTAATCTATTTGTAGTCTAACTAGATTTCTGTTTTTATATAAATAAGTGTCACTAGATTGAAGCTTATGGTCAAGCAATTTAAAATTCTTTAAGGTTTAACGAGAGAACTTTAAAAAAATAGTTCATATTGGACATGGTGAAAGGGTTTGGTAGATAGAGAAACTAAATCCTAGGGAATTACTATAAATAAAAATCAACAAACATTTGTAATACTTGATTTTTTTTTAAGTTGCAAGGGTACTCAAAATATCTGGCTGATTTAACTTGTATTTTGTGAATTTTTAAATAAAGTTTTATAATGTTTTTAAAGATTTTGAAACCCAAGAATAATTCATGTTTTTATCAGATTTTTCTAATTCATATTTTTATTCATTTATATAATTTACTAGAGGCCCAGCGCGCATGAAATCGTGCGCAGTTAGGGTCCCTAGGCCTAGCCTGGCCTCCATCGCATGGCTTCTGCCACCCTGCAACGCTATGTGAAGCTCCCCACCCAGGACGCTCCACGAACCCTGCGACTGCTTTGTGAGGCTCCCCCAGCCCCTCAACTGCTCTGCGAAGCATGCTGCCTCCCTGCGAAGCTCACCATTAGACGAAGCTCACCACTAGACGCTCCACAAAACTACCCCCTCCCCCTACCTGCAACTGCTCTGTGAAACTCCCCTGCTCCATGACTGCTCCACAAAACTCCCCCGCCCCACCACTGCTTCGCAAAACTTGCTGCCGTCAGGTGACTGCTCCGCTAAGCTCACGGCCACCCTGCGAAGCAGCCCGCCACCGCCTCTCAACAGTCCCCAGTCCCACCCGGCTGCCAGCCCCCACTCATGGTGAGCAGCTCGGGGGCGGGGGAAGGAGGGGGACTGAGAGGTGCGCCATGCACTTCATGGTGACCAGTCGCCTGTTCGGTTGTGACGGCACCTAGCTCTTTATATATATTAGGATAGGCTTTAGTTGGTCATATAAATTCATCTACACATGAATTACCACTTTTCGAATGATTTTTAACTCTCACTTAAAATAATCAGCCTTTAAGAACTATTGCATGGCATTCTGAGGAAGAATGTAAACAGTTAATTCTTAGTTTAGGCAAAACACTTGCAGAACTTCATTCTGTCAGCATCTTCCGTGTTAAGTTGCTATCCATTGTCCAGCAGTCATCATTCCCACTTACAGGCCATCATATTAATGGAAAAATAGATGTTCCCTTTAAGGCTCAGTTCTTCCTAATCTGATATATAAAATTTGAGTAATATTGTTTTGTTAATAACCTGCCAGAGGCTGAAGATGGTTAAATGTTTGGGCATTTGGTAACCGAAACTTATGACTTGCAGGTCAAAAAGTGTGCCAATGTGGTGAGACATTCATGCCTTTTTTGTGGTCATGATGGGTTTCGCTGTCAGTTGAACATCTTACTTTCCTTTAACTCCTTACCACAGGCGTAGCCATTGCCACGTCTCTACTTTTAAGAGCTGATGACCCCGAAAACACTACTGTGTTCAACTTATGAACATTGGCCTGGCCTTGTAGGCAGAGATTGTACAGTTCTGGTTATCTAAGATAAATTAGCTGTTATTAAAAATCTCTAAAAAAATATCCCCCCCCCCTTGAATACGATTAGTCTAAAGGGTTTATTTTAATAAAATCCTCTTGTTCAGATGCAGTGACCTTGGTTCCTATAAATCTGAGCTCCAATATGCCATCAAATCTGAAGCTGTGGAAGCAATGGGGACACAATCGAATCCTGTATAAAACAGTTGTCTCAGAATAAGACAAACCTTTTATAATAAAACTAGGGGCCCAGTGCATGAAGATTTGTGCACTTGGGGTGGGAGGGGTTGGAGGGGGCGGTCCCTTAGCCTGACCTGCACCCTCTCCAAACTGGGAGCCCTCAGGGGAGCCCTCTCCAATCCGGGAGTTTCTGTCTGTCTTTGCAATCATATGAGCGAATTGTCTGAGACCCCCAACCCAGTTTGGTTTGTTGCTCACAGAATAATAGAGGCATTTTTTTTTTTTGCTTCATTGGTGGAGATTTCCTGGAAGTTT